TAGTCTATAACCACAAATAAAAAATTGAGATTCGCTAGTGTTTCTAGCCATTGCCATCTTAGTTATTCCTTTTCTCCCAGCTAGTATATAACTACCAGGTTGTCCATATTTCTCTCTAAGTGCAAATTTCATTTCTTTTTCCTAAACCCAGTCCCATTCAAAGTGAGTAAAGACAGAGTACGAGATACAGAGGAAAGGACACCATGAAAAAATTTCAGCTTTGTCCATCCAAATTCTTCTTCAAATTATGTATTATTCTTATTCTTGTGTTCCCGGCGGTGGTCTCCGGTGACTGTGATTGTGATCCGGATAAGTCCGTCGATGGAAGCAAAGCGGAGAGACAGAAATACAAAGTGGGTGCCATTGCAGCTATTCTTACAGCCGGTGCAGTTGGGGTGTGCCTACCGGTACTGGGGCGGAACATACCGGCTCTGCGGCCGGAGAACGATATATTCTTCATGATCAAGGCGTTTGCTGCCGGAGTTATTCTCTGTACGGGATTCATTCACATTCTCCCGGATGCATTCGACGATCTGACTTCGCCCTGTCTCCAGTCAAGTGTGTGGTCGAATTTTCCGTTCACTGGTTTCATCGCCATGACATCGGCCATAGGAACGTTGATGATCGATTCATTGGCGACGGGGTATTACCAGCGGATGCACTTCGAGAAGCATAGGATAACTACAGATCAAGAACAGGGGGCTCATGATGAGCATGCTGGTCATGTACCTGTTCATACCCATGCCACTCATGGCCATTCTCATGGATCTGTCATTCCATCTGAAGATGGGAGTGGGTCGGAACTATTACGACACCGTGTCATATCCCAAGTAAGATTCAGAATGATCAAGTTTTTACTGCAATCTCAGAACATTAATGTGTTTCTCACTACCTAAATCTGAACTGAAAAACAACGGAGTCTTTGTAAAAATAGGTACTTTATTTTAAATTTGTTCATATGACTGTTGGTGGTGTTGTTCAGGTTTTGGAGATTGGAATTGTGGTTCATTCAGTGATTATTGGGATATCTTTAGGTGCTTCTACCAGCCTTAAAACAATAAGGCCTTTGATTGGAGCACTGTCTTTCCATCAGTTCTTTGAGGGCATGGGACTTGGTGGCTGCATTACTCAGGTATCATCACTCTCATGATTTTATAAAAATATTTTGTTTCCTCTGCTGTTTTAGGGATTAGACAGTGAATAGCCCTTCCTTTTCTTCTCAAACCGTATCCCAAATTTTACATGTAGTATAAGCTCAAACGGCGTGTGTGTTTAACTATGACAAATATTTGAATATGAAACCTCTTTTAGGAGAGTACCGTGTGCAAATAGTTTATGTGTGACGAACACGTTGGTGGGGGAGTAAGAGATTGGAAAATGTCATTCATTGGAACCAAGAAAGTCAAATGTTTATTGCAACTGTTAACTTTATTAAGGTTTGAAAAGCCAACCACATGGGGTGGATGGAATGGAATGGAGAATGTTGCCATTGTGACAACATCCTCCGTATCAGGGAAGCTGCTCCAAATTAATCAACAATCATACAAAAATAGGCTTGTGATTTTCACAAATAACAAAATTATACACAGAGTATTGAAAGTCGGGTTGTGTTGGTGATACAGGCAAAATTCAAGACTTCATCGGTGGCAATCATGGCAACATTTTTCTCCCTCACAACCCCAATTGGAATTGCAGTTGGGATTGGAATTTCAAATGTTTACAGCGAGAGCAGCCAACCTGCTCTGATAGTCCAGGGAGTCTTCAACGCAGCTGCAGCAGGCATTTTGATTTACATGTCGCTTGTCGATCTGCTGGCAGCAGATTTCATGAATCCAAAGTTGCAGAGCAATATGAGGCTTCAATTCGGAGCAAATGTGTCTCTCCTTCTTGGAGCTGGTTGTATGGCTGTCTTGGCCAAATGGGCATGAAACTCGCCTCAAATTCCTCATTGAAGCGATCCCATTTGCATGCTTCTTTTTATTAAGATGTTCAATTCCATTCTCATACAAAATAACACGAAAGCAGAACTTTGTTGATGTATGCATTATTACTGTAAATGTGATATTCAAGTAGAATATTTTTCATAATATAGGGAAATGTTTGGCTTTGTCCTATACATACAAAGGCCATAGATCCAAGATTTAAAAAGGAAAATAGATCATTTGACCTGGTATATATAATCGAGGTATTGTTCTGTATTAATGTCTGCAGAGGAGATCCAAGCAAGCAAAACAAAGGTACAGCCGAGATTGAAGAGGAGCAAAGGTACTCCTGATTTAAGGACATCTCACTTCCATAGAATAATTTACTAGTTCATACTGGATTAGAAGCATTTCTTCTGGATTAGTAGCTTTAGCGAAGAAATGGTGTACGTAAATTCTGGCTGCACGTATGATATTTCTTTTCTACCACGTAATGGAAATTGCAAGACCTGATAAAATGTAACTGAAGAGAAATAAAATGAACGAATCGACTGATCAAACGAACATGTCAAATCCCAATTGAAAACGGTATCCCCTCGGTTTGTAATCAAGAGAGTCACTTCGTCCAATTGCCTCAACAAGGTGTTACCAAGATCGGCTTACCTCACAACATCTTCCTCTTGCATTTCCAGCTAAAACCCCATAGCAAGGTATATTTTGCGTTTCATCTGAAACTTGAGTTTTCAACTCAATATATTGG